AAAAAGGTAAACCGCTTTTGTTCTGGTATGGCGGGGTGTATATATATATATAAAAAGTCGTCACATAAACTATACTTTAGAGTTTAAATACACAGTAATTAATTCACATTATGTCTAATACTCGGACGAATTGATAAATTAATTAGTGATTTTCAAAAGAGGATCTAGTGATAAATAAACTCTTTTGTTCTGCGTACAGTAATTTAAATAATATTACTCCGATTGAAAGTAAAGAACTCTGTTTTTAATTAAAATAAACAATTTTTTTTCTCAAAAAGTTTTTTTGTGGTTGTCATAAGTCCATAGAGGCGGCTAAAAAGCCAGTCGTAGCACAACTGGTCACACTAAAACGCTAGTGTGTGAACTAGCTTCCACGCATTTGCGGTTAGCACACAATAGAGAGTTTTAGTAGATCGTTCCGATACCTCCGATAGCCCCGATAACGATACTATGCATGCGCAAGGGAGGCGGTGGCGGAGTATCGGGATATCGTTATCGGAATCATGGGAACGATCTACTAAAACTCTCTAATGACTCAATATTCTCGACCAAAAAAAAGAAAAAAGGTTTCGGACGTTGATGCTGCTACGCCCAGAGCAAGACTTCTTCTCACAATGCGCACTTTACGACAATACTTCCATTTCGCTTCCATGAACACCGCAAGAAAAAAATACATCCACGTCATAAAGTGGGCGCACATGTTTGCATATTGAAAGGAAGCCGCTGCGCATCTGTTGCCAAATGCAATAAACATCTTTAAAAAAAAAAACACTACGTATTAACAAAATAGGTCGTTGTGTATACGCCGGAGACTCGACATTATACTCGGGGCGAATTGTTAAAGCCAACTGCGCGTGCGGGCTTCTTCCGTACAAGAATTGCACAACGGAAGGCACTCAAGCCCCGAATTAATCTCGGGACCGCGCATTAGATCGAGTGCTCCGTCGGAGATACGATGGGGTGCTTCTTACGTAAACCCGGTCGTTGCCAGTAGGCGATATACTGCGCAGAAGGATGCGCCATGCGTCGCGTTTTATGACGAACTGTTACGAGATGGCGACGTCTCTCTGTGTGCAAACGCATTGTAAAAAAGAAGAAAAAAAAAGGAAACGAAAAGAAGTTGCGTCGCTGCGTCGGAAGAGTTTCCATTCATACAGGAGCGTGTTGAGGTTTCGAACAGTGAAGGCCTCTCTTCTTTTCAGCAACATATGACAAACACCTTTTTACGGTTTATAAATAAAAGTTTTTATCAACTTTGTTTTTCTTTTCTTTTTTTTTTCTTAAACACAATTTTTTTTAGCAGAATTTCTTAACAATAGAAATTGTTTCCTCCGTGCATTTCCCCGCTAAATGTAGCGGGAAAATTGACGTTTCATGAAGTCAGAATATCACGCGCCACCGAGAGGTCGCGTCACGTAATGTCATGGTAGGAGGCAGTCATGGTAACAGGCAGTGACAGCAGTTCTAAGGCTAAATTTTCATGGAGTAGTTAATACACAGCACATTCTTAGAAATAACGGAGAACAGAAGACTAGCTGGTGGGTGAGCTTTCAACATCTCAAAAAACCTGAGAGCATGTTTTCCCTCATATTTTGGGTTTTTGAGGGGTTGAATATATTGTTCTTCTCTACCAGAAACGACTGCTTGTTATCTTCTAAACATATTAAAACGATTGCATTTTTTGAAGACAGAAGTTGCTAATAATCTCTTCTCCCCCCCCCCCCCTTTTTTTTTTTTTTTGTTTTGTTTGCATTTGAGTTGATCTTTTGCCACAAGAGTGCATGTTTGTGAACAGGCGTTGCGAGAAGTGCAGTTCTCTGGTAAATCTAGCGTCCACCCCTTTATTATACGAGCACGTACTCATTCTCACTGTAGCCTACTCGTTCTTACGTCTCTTTGTCTCCCCAACGCCCGAAGACGACAAGTATGTCTCCTACGGGTTTACTACGGTTGATAGAACGTCATTTCATCGAAACACGTTTCAGAGAACGGGCACGTTTTATACCGAAGCTCGGTTTAGAGATAGCAGAGCCTGAGTTTAGAAAGACGCTATCTATAAAAAAAATGAGACGCTGTTTAAAAAGAAGGCTCCCTTCCTTCGCGCGTGTATCACTGGGGCGCGTGTTAACCTCCCCTCCCCCTGTTCACGCGTCTTTGCGGCGACAGTCTGCGGCGGCTCATTACGAAAATGTTAACCCACTTGGCCCATCCGTACACGTCGCTTCGCGGCCGTCGAATTCGCTTAAAGGAGGCTCATAGCCACTTTCTCTTAACTGGGTTTCTCCATAAAGGGATTCCGTTCTATAAACTCGGGTCTCTAGACCGTAGTTCGCTAAAAGGAGTTTCGGTAAAATGGATGCCTCCGGTCTCCTCTGCGAGTTACGTACTACGCGTGTTGCACCACCCGTTTTTTTTTTTTTCATTCGCTTTATCTCGTAATGATCCACTCTAAGTACGCACAGACGATTCGTGTCGCGGGAAGAACGACTTGGTTTTAAACGTTCTAAGGACGATGTTTGTTGCGCTAGCAAAACTACGCCAAAAGAGCACCAATTATTGGTTTTCATCGCGTGTTGTTGAACCTGCTTTCACGGCTTCGTCTTTTGACCGCACCGCGCTGTGGATATCTGATTTGCTAGAGAATGTTGGAGAGCGAACTTGCCGCCACGGCTTTCTGTTTTTAGCCGCTGGGTGTCGTTGATGTTAGAAGAGTCGCCAATACGGTGAGAAACTGACGAAGAGCTAGGAGAAGGTGATAGCGCGCTGGGACGTTACGGACTCGAACGGTGATTGGAGAGACAACTGGCAACTATGGCCTCCGCGTCTAGCCCCTAATCCTTCTCATCAGAGCTCTTCGCTGCGCTCTCACGTCCTCATCTCCCTCAGTTCTTTCACCGTATTAGCACGTATTTGTGTGGCGTAAATCACACGTGTACAAGCAAATCAATCACGATATCGTTCTGAAATATATGTGTCTGTGTGCGAGTGTGGTTGGAAGCTTTACATTGCTCGCAATAGTACTCGTTGTTGCAACAAGAATAAGAAAAAAAAAGTTTTACTCGATATGCATGCGCTGTGGGAAGTAGTTCTTGAAAGGTTTGGTTGTCGAAGGAAGAAAGGAAGCTCTTTGGGGAATTGGAAACGTGTACGTATTTATAAAATAACATAAAGCCCAATCTAAGGTGCACCTACATATATCTTATTTCAATAGACGAAAGAAGTAATTAATATCGTTCTGCAAAAAGCCGTCTTTGTGTGTGTGTGTGTGTTTTTTTTTTGTTTTTTTTTCTTTGCGTTGAGTACGAGTATTTGCAACTCCAACGCCCTATAGATGGTGGGGCGGTACGTCTAACATTGCGAAAGAGACGGAAATATATTCTCCTGGATTTCAGGTACGCCTGCTCCCTGACCCTGGCCCGTGCGCTTAACATACTCGAAAACGAGTATGTTGAGCTTTAAAACTTGCGAAACGGAACACAAGTTTCTTTTTTAACGCACTCGGCTTTTTTCATAAGAACTGCGCGATGCAAAAACGCGCCGACCGAAACCATGCGGTAAAAGCAGCGTGCCAAGGCTGCCCGTCCCTGCCACCGTCTCCGCCGCCTTCCCCACTCCTCTGGTTCATCGTTCGTCCGCGAGAGGGCGACTATCCCTCCATTAGAGCCAATCAGAGCTCGGCATTCTGACGTCACTGCAATCCCCGCGTAACAAGCGGACGAACTTGCGCTCCGAATGGTAAAAGAAATATTCAATGCTCCAGCGAAATCACAAAGTCACTGACAATCGGAGAAACTCAGGGCGACCGTTCACGTTCACGCTTCTTGCTTCCTGATTGGTTCTTCAGCGATCTCGTCGGCTAATACCGCAACCTGATTGGCCGATGAGCTATAATGAGATGCGTGGGAACCTGTAGCGCCCTGGCATTCTTTTAAGTTGGCAGTGACTTTAAATCCGTCTTCACATTACGGTGGACTGCAGCTACGCGGTGGCCGAAAAGCGTCTACCATTTATTGGTGCGTTCAGCGTCCCCTTCTGCCCATGCCTCCGCCTTTTCTCCGCTTCTACCCGTCCAAATAAATTAGTAACAAGCACCCCACTAAAGAAAGAAAAAAGAAAGGCGTCAATTTTTATTTAGAATTAATGGGAGACTTTAGGACCGCGCCTTTCGACACCGACGCAGCGCGAGAAATCACAGCCCACGCAAGCTCCGCGCGCGCGCGGGGCCGGGCGCCGGGGCGTGGTGCCGTCGGGAGCTGGCGACGTCCGAACCCGGAGCTCGCGATCGCCACGTCCGCCTCCCCGACACTCCGGGGGCCGAAACCGCGAGACGTCCGGGTCCCAGCCAGGGATTGATCCGAGCGCGAGCCCGCAGCCCGGGCGGCGGCGGCGGCGTCGGCGACGCCGATGACGACGACCGATGGCGTCCCTGCGTTGCTAGGCGGCACCGGTGTGCCCGGATTTTGAGGGTGTCTCCCCTCAACCGTTAGATCGGGGGCTCGTATTGCATGGACATGGCTCCGTGTATTTCTGGTTTTTTTCTTTTTCCCCGCAGATTCGCTGTTTTTCGGTGTTTATATTTAGTGCCGGCTAAAGAATTCGGTGTTTATCGGGTCCTACGGGGTCGCACAACAACTTCTTGCAGACATGTTTGAAGTCCACACACGTATGAAGCGAGCATGCTTTAGAACCGTCCCTAGCTTCTCGTATGATGCATGACTCAGCACGAGCAGTGACCATTGCTTTTTCGAGCCCGCTCTAACCCACTATCCTCCTCACCGCGTCACTACGCACGCTTGCGCAGTGTGCCACCATTCTGAGCAAGTGGCTTCCGTCATTAATAAACAGCAAACGCTGTCGGTGGTTTTCTTTGAGTTGCTGTTACTCTTAAATGCAGGCTCTCTGGGCGGTGGCGCCGCCGCGCGCGCCCTCTGGCCGCGATTTTGGCGCCACCGCCGCGCGAGCCGCGGGCTCGAAACCCGGGGAGGGTTCGGGCTCCGGAGAAACGGCCGCATGCGAGAGTTCGGAGTCTAGGAATGAGGCACCGCGTCGCCGCGCCATGACCATCCGGTGAGTGGAGACGCCGAACGCTCCGTCCTGGGACACGCCCGAATTTTTCCCTCTTTTTTTTTTTTGGCCCGCGTTAGGTGTTTTTTGGGGGGCTGCTCGCTTGCGCGTTCAAGGCAATGTGTTTTTGCTTCTGTTTTTTGTTTTTGTTTGTTTGTTGGCGACAAGGGTCCCATGGGTTGGTAAAAGGGTGTTCCGCGTCGCCGTTGTTCGTCGTGTTGTTGTACGATTTCTGTATTTAAAAATTCAGGAGGCAGAGAATGAGACGCAGCGTGAGCCTAGACCCGGTATTGTGGAGACAGCATTTTCGTGCTTCGAGGGACGGGCATACGAGAACAAACGAAGGGGTGAATAGGGAAAACATTAGGTGGAATTAACCTTTTTTTTATAGCGAGCGAAAAAACCCGATAGGGAACGAGGGAACATTGCATGCTGGCGTTGGCGTCCTTGGTTAGAGAGTCGCAGACGGAAGCACTGTTACGGGTATACTAACAAAATTGAAAGAATGGTTCTCTTGCGTTTCATGCTCTAATTCCTGGTTAAAAAAACAAACAAAAAAACATAGAACTTCAGTGTGACATAGATGTTTACGGGCGAAACAAACGGTTGCTTGATGAGTGTAAATGTTCACGATACTATTTATTGTCACGCGATAAGAAGATATGGCACGGTAGGTGACAGTAAAGCGCATTCTATAATTAGGACCTAAAAACAAGTAACCATAATATTCTGTGACAACAAATTACTCTCGCGTTTAGTTAACAGCCGAAAAACATGTACTCAAACTCCGTCTATTCTATTCCGCTTCGTTGTCGGTGCGAGCGAAGCCGACGCCGCGAACACGAGCGTGTTATTTCGAACGACGCTTTCACTTCACGTGCTGCTCGAAGCGTCGCGCTCGCTCTTGTAGCCTCTCCTTCACTCGCACATCCGGTGACACAAAGTGTAAAGCCTTGAAATATCGAGACAATAGAACCTTTTTACTGTTCACAAACATGAACCTTTGCTTGCGTTCTAAAAGACTTTTGGACGCTACGTCTTTGCAAGCCTTTCTATAGCTTGCATGTGTGACCAGTGCTAGAAAGCACCAATGCTGCGCGGACCACAAAGTTGGTATCTTAGCGAAGGCCTTCGGCTGTGCGATTTAACGTCCTGAAGGAGACAAGTTGGTCTACAAGGATATTCGAATCATTTGAACAGATCTCGCGCTTCTGGGTTGTGTTTTGGTGTTCTTCCCGAGAACTGGTGGTTAAATGTCGTTTCATCGACGTTTCAAGCATTCTTTTTATGAAATTCGCTAAGACGTCAAACATTGAAGCGCAGCCTAATAACGTTTGCAAAAAAAAAAAAAAAAAAAAGTTTATAATTAGTGACAAGATGAGAATGCCGCAGCGTCTGTTTGGAGTGCCCGGTCTCTCCAGCACTCGGTTGTTACCTTCCGCCATGCTTGGGAGGCTCTTGCACGATCGAGGCTCACATGACGACCAAGCATTGTCGAAAGTCTTAAACCGTTTGCAAAAATGAAAAAAAAAAAGTCTATGGTTAGTCACAAGGTGAGAGTGCCATTTTCGGACACCCGGTCTCGCCAGCACTCGGTTGTTGCCTTCCGCCATGCTTGGGAGGCTCTTGCACGATCGAGGCTCACAAGACGACCAAGCATTGTCGAAAGTAGGAGCTCTGCTCTCGCAGCTAGGATGCTAAATGACCTTACTGCCGTTCGATCTCGCCCCGTCAGTAACTTTAGACCCTTCCAGAAACGGGCCTTTTGGCCGGTGCTAGGAGCCGCGAAGATCCACTGACAGAATGAGAACAAGAGGGCGTCTTTTTTCGATTTCCCCGCATATCCGGCACGCGATCGTCGCCTTCCGTGGTGCTTCGATCGCGCTTGTGCGATCGCGGCTCACTATATAGACGCGCTGGAAGCCGGGCAACCGCAGGAACTCGTTTTCACGAGCAGCCCCACTTCCGAGATATAAATTCGCGCTTTGTTCCTCAATTCCAACCGAAGAAACTGCCCACGCAATGTGATTGCTTTTTCGGACCTGTGGTGCCGTTTGCTTTTTAGTGGAAGAGGATTGAGTTTATCGCCTCAACGTACATTTGTAGTTTCTAATTCTTTCTCGGACGCAACGAACGTTTGAGTAGTATTCATTGTCTCCTTGTTGAGTATCGGTAATGTGATCCCCAAACGTGCCACTTAAAATCGACCGCATACTAAAGCCGCAAACATACTTATCACAAATCATTAAAAAAAAACACTGTGTTCACTGTAAACATTATGACGGAATACTCTGCGGACTCACCACACGCATGATCATCTATTGCTCTGTACATATGTGTGCTTCGTACATGTATGCAAAAGATTTTTTTTTTTCTTTATGACTAGCGTGACGGTCATAGAAGCAAGGGATGAATGGTAGTTAATGGCTAAACCCTTCGTAGCGGGCGGTAGCTTGCGCCACCTAACCTAAGTCTAAAAAGGCGCCTCAGACTGTATGCAGACGGTCTTTTGTACGAGGTGCTTAGCAGTTGTGCCTGCGGCTTAAAAGAACGGTGCAACGCAAAACAGAAGCAGCTTACCTTGCGTGCATATACTTCTCGTGTACGTCCGTTATAAGAGAGAAAGAGAATTAGTTCGCCCCTTCATTATAAGTAAAAAAAAAAAAGACAAAATACGAGGAGAGAAATCTGTAGGATTGCGACTGCAACGTTTAGCGTTCATCGCTTCGCAAGGCGTGCCTCACCGACGCGATACACGAAAGTGGGAAACCCTATTGAAGACTTGAAGACAACGCGTTACCAGTAACACATTAGTTGTACGTGGTTACTTTTGTTTTTGTTTTTTTTTGTAACGAAGTAACGACCTGGCTATTTTTTTAAGAAAATGGACGAGGAACGTAATGTCGTTCCTTTTTGTTGAGGTAACGCGTAACGATATTTGGCCACTTCTGGAGGTCAACGTGTACGACACAAGCATGGCCGACCCAGTTCTCGTTTCCAGGCCGCGCCTGTAATTCGCACAACGAGAAAACGCTAACATTTTTTTTTTTTTTTTTACGAAATAGTTACACATGAAGGACAGAACACAGACAGCCGCATCTTCCTAAGTCGGCTGTAAACAAGTTGCGCTCGAGGCATGTCACTATAACCGTACGGCTATTCCCGAATGGACGCGTTAAAAAGCGAGGAATTATTAATGACGGCAAATGGTATAAGCGGTTATTGCTTCATAAAAGAAACGCCAAATTCAGGAAAACGAGAACATGACGCGTTACTTTCCAGTTGAGGTCTCGCGTTTCATTTTACATCGCGGTAACGAGTGTCGCATTTACGTACTTGGTTTCTTTTTGAGTGTGCGACGAGTACACAGTAACCTGTACGCGTATGGATGATGGTTGCGTTGACGGTGAATTATAGGTATCACGATTTGGAATTGTTGCGCAGTTCGCCGCGCAAATATTTACACTTATTAAAAAAAAAATCCCGTCGTGCGCGAGAGAAGTTAAAAGAGAAGGATTTACGTTTTCCGTGGCACCAACAGAGAGTTGAGAAGGGAGTAAACATTTTGTCTCGAAACTCGAAATAGGATTTGACTAGACAGCGATCTCTGTGCGCTTTAGATGTTGTTCTTTGATCGGAGAGCCTGGATCGAAGAGAGGCATCTCAAACCGTGGGAATCTTTCGTAATTTAGTGGCAGACGCCTCCACCGAAGATTGATCGAAAGTGCGCATGCGGTGCGTTTTGAGTCAAAGAGGAGGAAGGCAAGCGCAAGGGCGGAAGTGTTTGCAGACGAGGCGATGAACCGTTGCACTTTCACGCAGCAACTTAATCGCACAAACGCAATTAAAAAAAAACAAAAAACATGTATCTTTGACGAGGCAGTTGGACACTTTTTGTAATCTAAGTTGTCTGCTTCGCAAACTTCCATCGAAGAAAAATGGGATATGCAATCAATAGTTTCGGTTTCCAAATACATTATAGGGACGGGTTATAGTGGAAAGTAACTTAAAATTGATTAAAATTGGCTTCTTTAAGGAGAGTGTAATAATTCTGAATTTTTGCTTTATGTCGGCACCGTAAAAAAAAAAAAAAAAAAAAGCTTTAGGGGGAAATTTAAAAAAAAAGGTTTTGTAGAACCGTTTTTACTTACTTTACGTTGAGTGAATGCACAGTATGGTGTAGCATCACACTAGAAGTCACAAAACTGCTATATATAAGAGAAACGACCGCGTTATATTCGTTACAAATAACTACGCCACGACGACTGCCGCGGTCGTCACGACGTTCCAACTCCACGGCTGCCGAAGCTTCCGTTGAACTGTCAAGCTGTTGTGCGGCCTGCAGCATGGCACAGACGTGCACCACACCCGCCACCACTGCCATCACACCACCAGGATTCGCGGTCGGCGGCGATATGACGCTTCTATAACGCCACAAGGCGAAACGCGAGGGACCGCGTTTTCTTTTTAAGATGCGGTAAGAGCACCATTCGTAAACACGATCCAGCCACCGTAACACCATTGTAGCTCTCTCCGTTCACCTGATTGAATGCGACCAACCGTCCAGACTAACTCTTCAGACACCCCGCAACGAAGTAACCGTCTAAGATCTCTTCTCTTACACACACACACGCACACGCGCGCGCACAAACACACGCACACACACGGCAGTCTCGCGAACGGAGCGATTCGACGCTAAGAAGGGAGGGGAGGCAACAGCGCGTAAAAGAGAAGGCCGAATGTTGAAGGCCGGTCGACCGAGTGCCCAGTCTTGCCGCAATTCCCGTGGCCGTCAGAAATCTCGTTCTTCGCTCGCTTCCACGCTCAAGAGATGAGGATCCTTTTCCCCCGAGGCAGACCCGGGCTGCCCGAGTGAATCGTTCAATCCATTCTTCCGCCGCGTCTATGAATATTTCCGCCCTTTCTAGTTTTCCTCAGCCCTCGACTTTGTTCTCTTCCTTTCACGTTCTTGCGCTAGTGTACCTTTTGCATCGACGGCCGTC